GAAATTTAACGATTTACAAGTAGTTTGTAAAACCAACTGACTACCACTACCCTAGCGTGATCATTGTCTTTATCGCAATGCTAATCACAATGATGATATGGTAATAGTTATTAACGCTGTGGTCGGAATCATTCTAGGTAATAAATGTTACACCGGTAACTAATTGTATATAGTACGATATATTTGAGCAGGAATATCATTGTTACTCCAGTTGCTTATGATGTCCAGAAAGTGCGACTCACATCACCTTGATTAAAATAATTCATTCATTTTCGATGTCACAATCCTTTGGCTCTTTTCAGTGGCGTAGATGTGGTATGAGCATAATTGAATATTTGAACAGCTCTGAGGAAGTCCTCAACGAGCTGTATTCCACTGTAGATTCATTCGCTGTTACTGTAAAGCTGTTTTAAGCTTCCCAACGATGCGCATCTTCTACGATTCCTTCGTGCCTGTGACTTTGACACGGTAAAAGCAAGGGAGATGGTAATGAACAGCATCATCTGGCGCAAGCAGCACAACGTGGACAAGATTCTTTCGACGTACGAAGAGCCGACGATTTTCAGGGAATACTTTCCAGGCACATGGAATCACTTCGATAAAGGTAATGATTTTTGTGCCTTTTTTTACTTTTACTTTCTGTTGTTCTCAACTGTCCTTTAGAAGGAAGACCTCTTTATGTATTACGTTTCGGGTTGATCGACATCAAAGGCTTGTTTAAGGCGGTAGGCGAAGAGAGTATCGTTAAATTCGTGAGTACCACCTACTTTTATTAGTTCGTTAAATGTTCGTGATCAAGGTAATCTTCCTCGTTACAGGTTTTATCGCTGTGCGAGCAGGGCTTGAAGAAAACGTCTGAAGCTACCGCCACCTTTGGCAAACCTATCAGGTAACCCCGTTATACACTTGAGAGAAGGTTATATTTTTATGGCATTTCACTTTAGCACGTGGACGCTTTTGGTCGACCTCGAAGGGCTCAGTCTGAGGCATCTATGGAGGCCCGGAATTCGCACGCTGTTAAACATAATTGAAGTGGTGGAGGTGAGCAATTTCGGTTTTAAAGATGAAACTTGTATCGTGTAACCTGATTCCGGATTAAACCTTTATTTAACTTTATGGAAAATTGAAATTGTTTGGCATAATCGCCTTTCGGTAGGAATTAGACTGTAATTCAGCAGAAACCTGTCGTTATCGATTCGACAGCGGCACTTTAAAGGAAAATATGAATGGTTGGTATTCTGCGTCATCTGAAGGACTCCAATGAAGGATCAAAAGGCAGAATGACGCCAGTATGGAAGCGCCTGACGATGATTCAGGTCATATTTAACAAATATGTGACCCTGCGAAGTAGGTCTGTCTAAGACGCCTCGTTTCTACGGCACAGAGTAAAATTTTTATGGCGCACTTTTGGAAGAGTGAAAACGTTTCTCTCTGGACAGCTGTTCTTGTGCTTGAAACAGAGAGTTTTCTGTCAGCGTTTTCGCCTAATGTTAGCTTATATATGTGGTACGTGGTCCCTAATCTTGAAAGTTATTCATACTGCGCAACGTAACAGAGAAAGGTCTATGTTGAGAATGAAAAGAAACGTTAGGAAGTCGAACGATGTGAATGGGTAAGAGCACAAAGCAGGAGTCTCTGATTTCATTGCCAAAGTTAAGGTCACAGTTTTGACGACATCTTGCAAGAAGAGCCAAAAATTGCCGGACCAAAGAGATTTATACTGGGTTCCAAGAAAGTAAATCCCTAGGAAGACCTCTATATCTAGATGAGCTCAGTGACTTCATTACATCAAGGTAGATAAGAATCTCTGAAAAGTGAACCTTACAACAGAGTTTTTGATAGGCCTTCGTCCAGTAATGAATGGAAAAGACTGATGATGATTATGATATTTAGTTGATAACGCTGAATCCATCCATTGATAACGGTGACAGGCCCCGTCTACTGCGACGAAGACTCATTTCCTGAACGATTTGAAGTTTGTTTTGTTCGTTGTGCTTTTCGTACAGCAAAGCATTTCTAGTATGCTACAGACAAGAAAAGAGTTACTTTGGCGGAAATGAACGGGGACAGTGGATTGTGCTTATCGTACACGTTGCGTTGCTGGCGCTGGCACACATTGCGCCTACACTCTACAGTGGAGGCTAACGAAAACCTAGCATTTTCAGAGAAGATGATGAGAATCACAAGCTTCCTTCACACTGCGTTCTCCAGTCCCATCGCTTGGCATTTAAAATGGTGTCAGTTTCTCTGCGAACAGGCGACCGTTTTAACTCAGATTCTCAAGAATAGACGATGACGGCGCAACCGTGCATAACAGATGTATTGTTTTTTACGTTAAAAGAATTTCCGGAATGAACCAAGGTCATCGTGAATTGTCTATGTTGAAGGAATTCAGACTGAACAACGCTGTTATGATCAAGGTATCAAGATGTTCAGAACAAACGTAATACTCTTATGAATGCCTTCTCGGGTAGTTCGAACCGTTGCATAACTCATATCCTGAAGACTATGAACGGTTTCAGACATTTCGTGTATCTGTCAGATACGACAGAAGATGCCGAGTTTTAATTGACACTGACAAGTTTCAGTCTGTTAAAACACTCAGATATATTGAGATTGTGATATTTTGTGCATTTTGTATTTGTCTACTTTATACACCATATGGGCTTGTGTTACTTGCAGGCGAACTACCCGGAGACTATGGGTTTGGTGCTGATAGTCAGGGCGCCGTGGGCTTTTCCAGTGCTGTGGTCAGTGGTCAGTTCTTTTATAAACGAAAAAACGGCGCAGAAGTTCATGATTTACGGTGGAAACGACTACGTCGAGGGGCTGCGATCATACATCGACGAGAAACGCATACCACACTTCTTGCAGGGCGATTGCTGCTTGAAGATTCCAGATGGCGGCATCGTACCAAAATCTTCATACAGGTCTGACATCATCGAACACAATACAGAGAGTATCCTGGCGTCCTTGTACCATACGGGTTATGCGTACAAAGCGCTTCCGCTTGAGGCAAGTTTTAATTTGCACAACCAAGTAAAAGCGTTGTCTATTACTGTATGCATATGTGCATACTATGTCTAATTGATGCAGCTGCACTGAAAATCTTTCGTTGTTGTTGTGGTATGTAGGTTAGTAGAAATGGAATGAATGTTTGTAATCAGAGAAGTATCGATCTTCCTTACATTTTAATGATGATGCCAATTCTGATGCCTCCTTTTCTTGGTATTCGTAGGGCGGGGTTCTCCACCTCTGTCATTAGCTGGAAGTGTCTTCTATGTTAACGTAGTGTCCACGGCAGCTCTGTGCAAGCATGTTTTGTTCTTCTTTCTTTCCCACAGAGTGGTTCTCTTATATCAACATCGGAAAAAAACGTATCACCCCGCCATAGCTGGAAACTCGTCGTTTTGAGTCTGTGGCTGTACCGGCTAGGCAGCTCGGTAGGTAGGTTGCTGGCAGGAGCGGGGTGATACGATTTTTATGAGACTCATTAAAATATTATCGATTCGCGGTATTTTGCAGAATTTGACTTAGTTTCA